ATTTACATTTACATTTACATTTTAGTCATTTAGCAGACGCTCTTATCCAGAGCGACTTACAGGAGCAATTAGGGTTAAGTGCCTTGCTCAAGGGCACATTAACGTCATTTAGCAGACGCTCTTAGCCAGAGCGACTCACAGATTGGTGCGTTCACCCTATAGCCAGTGGGATAACCACTTTACAATTGGGGGGGGGGTAGAAGGATTCCTTTATCCTATCCCAGGTATTCCTTAAAGAGGTGGGGTTTCAAATGTCTCCGGAAGGTGGTGAGTGACTCCGCTGTCCTGGCGTCGTGAGGGAGCTTGTTCCACCATTGGGGTGCCAGAGCAGCGAACAGTTTTGACTGGGCTGAGCGGGAACTATGCTTCCGCAGAGGAAGGGGAGCCAGCAGGCCAGAGGTGGATGAGCGCAATGCCCTCATTTGGGTGTAGGGACTGATCAGAGCCTGAAGGTACAGAGGTGCCGTTCCCCTCACTGCTCCATAGGCAAGCACCATGGTCTTGTAGCGGATGCGAGCTTCAACTGGAAGCCAGTGGAGTGTGCGGAGGAGGGGGGTGACGTGAGAGAACTTGGGAAGGTTGAACACCAGACGGGCTGCGGCATTCTGGATGAGTTGTAGGGGTTTAATGGCACAGGCAGGGAGGCCAGCCAACAGCGAGTTGCAGTAGTCCAGACGGGAGATGACAAGTGCCTGGATTAGGACCTGTGCCGCTTCCTGTGTAAGGCAGGGTCGTACTCTCCGAATGTTGTAGAGCATGAACCTGCAGGAGCGGGTCACCGCCTTGATGTTGGCGGAGAACGACAGGGTGTTGTCCAGGGTCACGCCTAGGCTCTTCGCACTCTGGGAGGAGGACTTCCACAGGTGGACTCCAATCAAGTTGTAAAAACATCTCAAGGATGATTAATGGAAACAGGATGCACCTGAGCTCAATTTTGCGTCTCATAATAAAGGGTCTGAATACTTATATAAATAAGGTATTTCTGTTTGTTACTTTTGATAAAATTACAAAAAAAAATTAAAAACCTGTTTTGGCTTTGTCATTATTGGGTATTGTGCGCAGATTTATGAGGAAAATCAATTTTAGAATAAGGCTGTAACGTAACAAAATGTGGAAAAAGGGAAGGGGTCTGAATACTTTCAGAATGCACTGTATGTCACTGGTGAAAACTGAATAGCAGTAGGATAATTTGCATGTCTACCGGTATGTAATAACACAATGCATGTGTTTCAAGGGCAGGATTTTTCAAATTAGTTTTTGGAGGAAAAAATGTATCTAGTGCAAAAATGTTGTCCATGTATCACTGGACTGCACTACACTAGTGCCTAGCCCTTTATATATACGGTCTATGGCCTTGCCCTAGGTGAAGTGGCAGGGCGGGGCTGAGGGTGTTGTGAATGAGGGTGTGAATTATAGTGCCGCCCAGTGAAAACAATGGAGTTTTATCAAGTATCCAGATTTGTCTTTTAACTGAAAAAAAAGTGAAAGAATAAACTATCGGGACCTTCTCATTTTATTCAACAAGCTATTTCTTATCAAGCTTTTTCTTCTGTTTCTCTCCAGCGAACAAGTGCTCGGAGGTAAAGTGCAGAAAACCTGTGTTTATTTTTTTCCTTATCAAAACGTTATCTTGAAATTTCCATGACAATTATTATGGTATGATAATGTCATTTGCATCTATCTATTTCAATGTTGCCTCATTTGTATGTTGCAATGTAGGCCAACTGTAGTCCGTAGCGATGTAAAAAAAAGTAATGCGATTATTTGCCTCTAGGAATTCCAATGTTTAGATCAAACCACATTAATTTGTCTGATTGTAATAATACATTACATGATGCTTTATTGTTATATAGCTGTTATAACAATAGGAGAATATGCTTATAATTCAATTCAATATGGGGCAGTGTTACAGTAGACAGAATAAAATGAATCCGTCACTGCTTGGCCTATTATTTCTGTATTCAGAAGTCTCCATTCTCTACAAACATCATATGAATTTATTGATGCCCCAAACTAGACAGATGGTAACTAATAATTCACTGTTTATAAACTAGACTATCTTAATGTAAAGTGTTATCCTTGTAACTGTCTGATGCTGTTTCCATAATAGAACAGATGTAGGCTATAGCGTCAGTAAGTTGGAAGTGTCTGATAATGTTTCCCCAAATAGACCTAGAATAGTCAATAAAATGGGTGCTTTTTTAAGATGCTAATGTGATGCCAATGAAGTAAATGACTAACTAGTAGAAAAACATGCCGTTCTGACATAGTAGTCTACATATTTTAGGTCAGGCGTTTGGAAAGTTGTACTGTCTGACCTCATGTAATATTTATTAATAGACACATTGCCACTATTCAGTGTGCAATCATCAGATACCAATTGTCACCATTAGTCTGGCCTTACCTGACCCTTTTACTCCATGGGGACTGGGGAGCATACCGTAGGTCATCCACAAATGTTCTCTACACACTCTCACGTTCCTTCCATGAGTACTTCAATGCTTCCATCCATTGGCCTACTGCTCCAGATATTCAGAATCTGAATGATTTCTGGTCAGCACAAGATGTCTAGTTTTCCAGTTAGGCCCCAGTTAGAATAACACTCAGGACATGAGTGCTTACATTAATTGAATTCAGATACAGGCGGTAAAGGTCACGGACACAACAGTAGCAAGCACTTAGTCCCTCTAGCAAAGAGATCAATACCGTTAAATGCAACCTGGTCTCAGAGCCTTTCGTATTATTCAGTACATAAATCCGAGACGCTCCATTTAGTATGGTATGTTACATTTCGTATGGTATGTATTAATTTGTCCATAATCAATTTCATATTATATGTTACGAATGACAATTCATATGATATGTTATGAATTGCAATTCATACAATATGTTAAAAATTCGCAAAAGTACAATGTAACGAATTTGCTAAAACGTAGCATATGATATGTTACAAATTCCAATTTGTTGTTGCTAACGTTAGCTAGGTGGCTAACGCTAACGTTAGCTAGCTTTAGGGGTTAGGGGTTAAGGTTAGGAGTTAGGTTAAAGGGTTAAGGTTAGGGGAAGGGTTAGCTAAAAGGGTTACGGTTAGGGTTAAGGTTAGGGTTAGGGGAAGGGTTAGCTAAAAGGGTTAAGGTTAGGGTTAGGGAAAGGGTTAGCTAACATGCTAAGTAGTTGCAAAGTACCGAAAAAGTATTAAGTAGTTGCAAAGTTGCTAATTAGCTAAAGTTGTCCGTGATCAGATTCGAACATTCAACCTTTGGGTTGCTAGACGTTCGTATTATATGCTGACCCATCCACCCCGACCAACCACCCTTCTTTCATTATTGCCTTATGTAACCTTCTGTCTTATGTAACCATACCAAACATAACATATCATACTAATTTGTGTGTCCAGGATTTACGTTTACTATGTTGGGTCTAGTCTATGAGACCAGGCTGTTAAATGAGATGATACAGAAGAGAATACCTAATTTTGCTGGCTGCAGTAGGCTAAATGATTGTTGTTTGCATTCACATGTGCTTTAACAAAGGGAAAAATCAACAGGGACTAAATTGCTACACTTGCATACAGTGTTTTATGCAAGTTAACTAATTATGAATATCTAGATTACTTGTTGTTGGGGTCTTTAAAAAGAAAGGTAGCGAAAAAAAAGAAGGCCTGAAGCATTGTTTTGGAGCATTGGAATAGACATGCCCATTGGCACTACTAGAATGGAATGTGTGGGATGCAACCAACCATAATAAATACAGTAACTGCTAATACAGAACTTCCCTGCAGTGTATGGAAATACACTCCGAAGACAGAAAATGACATTTAGACATGATTAGCATATTACCCGAACCAAATGTCATTATTCGTAAAGCTGATAAAATTATATAGAATAATTATTACATCAGCATTATCTCTACCCATCTTGTATTGCAGCCTCATTCTATGGGGATGGATACTGTATGTGCAGCTGAAGACTGTGGCATTATCCAGCCGATCATCACTCCATGTGCGCTTCCGCACCTCCAGTCACAGCGGCCTACTTTTCCTGTCTGCCGGGGAGACTGATTTCCTTCTTGTGGAGCTGCACTCTGGTCACCTGCAGGTGAGAACACACCTTTACTGTAGTGTACATACAGTAGGCTACATACCTCAGATTTATTACATACAGTGTTTAATTCCAGAGTAATATCCCTACTTCACGCTACACACTACCTGTTCACACTATATACTGTAGATCAGAAACTACTGAAATTGTAGAACTGTATCTCAATTCCGTGTAGAGTTCTGACCATTGTGTTTATCTCTAACTCAGTAGTGCTCTTATCACTACTACTTTGGAGCAGAGACAAGCCACAACAATAATTTTTGTTGTCAGCATGGCCAAAGGCTAAACCCAGAGGAAGTCTATGCTCATATTACTCTCACAGAAAAAAAGACCACAGTGAATTTAAAGATTTACCACCATCCCTGACATGTAAAGTGCCTTCATGAATCATGCTGGAATGGATAAGACCACAGTCTGTTAAATGTTAGCATCTGCTGCAGCAGGTAAGGTTATAGTTGATGAGAGGAGCCACGTTTCACTGTAAATGTGTGGTGGAATAATCCTATAATTCAATTGAAACAGCTGTCTGTCTTTTCAACCTGGTATTCTGCTTTTTAATTACCTCTACTTACGGTGTATCAGACGGAAACATACTGATGACTTCTATTACTACTTAATGTGCTACTTCCTGAACTGTTCTGTTGTTTGATGATTTCTGTATTACGTCTATCTGTTACCATCAATTAGTCACTTATTATTTCCCCATTCAAAAATCATTCTTGATACCGTCATTACTCCTTTATCAATCTTTATGTAATTTCTTCTTTCTCCCAGGTTTGCTTGGTGCTGGGGTCAGGTGAGCGTGCCCTCCGTTCTGAGAAGGGGGTCCATCTAAACGACTTGGCCGGTGGAGGATCCTTCAAAGGCTGTCTTTGAGATATCAGGATCAACGCACAGAGGATGGGGCTTCCCCATGCTGTCGTCACCAAAGACATATCTGTCGGCTGTGAGGCAAAGAAACTTCTAGAAGCGATCACCACTATGAGCCCAAAGGCTGTCCTCTCTGTCACCCTGCCACTACTCTACTATCATGGATCAGACAGGGACAGGAAGAGGCCAGGTCAGAACTTCCTGGTTCTTAAAGACTTAGTGGTTCCAGAAGGTGGGAGGGCTCCGTTAGAGTCAAAGCACATCAAGGTGAACCTAGAGTTCCGGAAGCTGGGAATCCGTCAGTCTCAGATCATGTTCCGTATAGAGGAGCAGCCAATGCACGGCCAGCTGAGGCTGGATATGAATCATTTTGACCAAGAGGAGGAGGGTTGGACCTTCAGCATGCTGGACCTGTGGCACGGTAGAGTGATGTACGTCCATGGAGGTTCAGAAGACCCTCAAGACTTCACCAACAGCAAGAAGGAGATCCCGTTTTACCTCAAGGGAAACAAGCTCCACCGCTTCAACGTCAGTGCCACGCCTGTCAAAGACGCTCCCGAGCTCAGCCTCCCTAAGGGAAGTCTCTTCATGCTCCTGGAGAACTCCAAACGCCACCTCAATACGGATGTTCTCAGAACCACCGACCTGGACAGCAACTCCACAGACCTGGTGTTCAAAGTTCTGGGGAACCATAATGCTGAAACAGGGTTTTTGGAGAAGCAGGACCACCCAGGGACAACCATCACCACCTTCTCCCAACCTGACCTGGAGGAGGGGAAGGTCAGCTACTTGCACATCGGAGGGCTGGTGAGGAACTCCCGGATGGCAGTCAGAGTCAGTGATGGAGACAAGGTGAGCAACATAGTAGTACTCAGGATTATGGCTGTCCAGCTTGAGCACAAGGTGGCCAACAACACAGGGGTGGAGGTGAACCAGGGTGGGGCTGCCATCATCAGCAGCCAACACCTGGCTACGCAGGTCAATGTTGTAAAGCAGGTCTTCGACATCTGCTCTGACGTGGCGAGCTACAGCGGCTACACTCCAGCGGAGAGTGGAAGCCCACCTCCGTCTTCTCACAGAAGCTTCTGGAAAAAGAGTGCATCAAGTACCTAGCTATGTTGTTGATCTGTGGTTGTGTGTAATCAATTGTTTTGACCACAAGCTGAAGGCAACATTTAAATTTTATGAAATATTTTAACGGACAATAAATATTTTATTTTCTATTCTATTTAGTTACCTCAACACCTTCCAGAGGATCAAGACGAGCAACGTCACAGATCAGTTCAAATGCAAGGTCAGCTTTGGCTCAGCAGCGACCGATGTACTCGTCTTCCACATCACGGTGCGGTGGATCCACTTCAAAGTCACCAGGAGTTAGTTGGAGGTCAGCGGTGTGAGGAAAGTAGCAATGAGAAGCTCTATGTTGTATCCAAAGGTGTCATGCTTCACAATGGTGAACTTCACTTCAGAATGTTGTCCTTACCAAAAGAAGGGACATCTTGTGTTCAACAACAAAGTCTTAAAGAAGACCTCAACATTTAGCCAGAAGAATATATCCGACCATATAGTGAAATATGAGGTTACAGGTAGACCTCGTAAGGACAAGAGGGATTTCTTTGGTTTCCAAACAGGCACACTCAGGGAGTTACGACTTCAGGATCAACATCAAGGCAGATGTTCATAGCCTGATAATAACCAACAAAGGACTGTCCATGCTGGAAGGAGAAAGCAAGGTTATAACCAAGGATAGGCTGTTTGCTAAAACTGTAGGGTCCAAAGCAGTACTTTACACCCTCACCAGCAGTGCTAAACAGGGGAAGCTAAAGAGGATTATTGTCCTAATGAACGACACGGGCCACAAGCTGTACCAGTTTTGCCAGGAGGACATGCACCATCGCAGGGTGCTGTTCATCCCCAGGGGAGTCAGTATTAAGTGAAATCAGTAACTTTTATTACACGCACACACAGTTTCGATTATTGCTTTCTTACAGTTATGAATACTGAAGGCACTGATTTCACTTCATAGGTCAGCTCCGGATGCTTCGTCCTGTTTGTGTCAGACGGGAAACATTACACATCCACACTGTTGGAGGTCATTGCCCAGGACCCGTACATCCAGGTGGAGAACAACACAGGCCTGCTGGTCCAGAAAGGCCAGACGGTCGTCTTGGGGTCAGCTAACCTCAGTGTTTTCCCCAACCTGGATGGCCGAGATGATAAGGAGGTGGTATATGAGGTGTTCATTCCACCGAGAACGGCATCTGTTCCACAACGATGTTAAGGTAAAATAATTAAAATAGCACCAGCACTGTATTGTTTGTAATGTGTATGTTGTGTTTTGTGATGTTGTTCTGTGTAAGCCTATGACATCTCAATAAAAGTTCAATTCAATTCAAAGGTGGACCGGTTCAGTTTAATTGAATTCAACTCAATTTGAAGGTGGACCATTTCAGCAGTGAGCGTTAAAGAAGTGCGTCTGGACGCCAGCATTGGGGTGAGGGTGTACCTTGAGAGCCACCAGCAGCCCCCCACAGTACTCTACATCCACATCATAGTGGTGGAGGAGGCCAAGCCTGTCAAGATCAACAGAGGAGACCTGGAGGTTACTATCACGTTGTTTCCATATACTGTAGAACCATGGGCTATCACCACAAATGTTAAGGGAGTACGCTTAAAATATCTAATTGTTGGGTGGTCGCAAGTTTTATGCTTAAGGATAATATTAGATAATTTGTAAACATAAATAAATGTACACTCTCATTTTAGTATCTTAAGGTTACTTGCATAACCCCGGTTCTCTGATATTATGAGTGAGACATCTCACTATTGGGATTCAACAGAATCTCTAAGTAGCTCGAAGAACCAATCATAGACATCTGTCGGAGAAAGATAGGGTGAGTGGTGAATGAGGGAGTGCCCAAGAGGTAGCCATACCTCCGGTGGGGTGAGTCCTCAGGACCCCCAGAGGCTGTAACCCCTTGCCATTACAGGCCAATATAATAGCTTCCACAATCCAATGTGACAACTGTTGATGAGAAAGGGCACACAGAGTTAGTCGCTCTTGCGCAAAGCTCTCGTCCTATCCAAGTACATCCGCAACGCGCGTACTGGACACAAACGGTATGGCGGCTCCTCTTCCTTAGAAGGAAAAGGCGGCAGGTGGAAAGCCACAAGATCCAAGGCAAGACAATTGTAATTGCCGCTAACCTTAGGCATAAAGGTGGGGTTGGGCAACAAGGTAACCTTGGAAAAGCCCCGGGCAAACTGTAGGTACGCATGATGAACTGACAGTGCATGTAGCTCATTCACTCGCTTTGCAGACATAAGGGTGAACAGTAAAACATTCTTAAAGTAGAGGAATAAGCCTTCTTCCCTCACTCTGGCCAGAGTGGGAAGTATGAGGCTGAAGTATGAGGCTGAGGGGAGGAAAAGCGTAAAGCAACACCCTCGGCCAAGGGTGTGCCAATGCGTCCACTCCCAGTGGTGCGTCCCCTGCTAATATGAGGCGGCAGAGAAAGAGGTGTAGCCAATCCTTCACCAGAGCATGGGGAGCTCTGCCTTACCATACAATACAATACAGGTTCTTAAATCTGGTGGGAGCTCTGCCTTACCATACAATACAATACAATACAATACAGGTTCTTAAATCTGGTGGGAGCTCTGCCTTACCATACAATACAATACAATACAATACAGGTTCTTAAAACTGGTGGGAGCTCTGCCTTACCATACAATACAATACAGTACAATACAGGTTCTTAAATCTGGTGGGAGCTCTGCCTTACCATACAATACAATACAACACAGGTTCTTAAATCTGGTGGGAGCTCTGCCTTACCATACAATACAATACAATACAACACAGGTTCTTAAATCTGGTGGGAGCTTTGCCTTACCATACAATACAATACAATACAATACAGGTTCTTAAATCTGGTGGGAGCTCTGCCTTACCATACAATACAATACAATACAACACAGGTTCTTAAATCTGGTGGGAGCTCTGCCTTACCATACAATACAATACAACACAGGTTCTTAAATCTGGTGGGAGCTCTGCCTTACCATACAATACAATACAATACAGGTTCTTAAATCTGGTGGGAGCTCTGCCTTACCATACAATACAATACAACACAGGTTCTTAAATCTGGTGGGAGCTCTGCCTTACCATACAATACAATACAATACAATACAACACAGGTTCTTAAATCTGGTGGGAGCTCAAACTGTTTCACCCAGGGAAGAGGCTGGAATACGTTCTGAATGTTTATTATGGACACGTCTCTTTATAAAATGGTTATATGAAGTAAGCTTTATGCGACATCTTTTTGAGTGCAGACCTTTTCTTTGTCTGAATTCAAGGGTTAAACGCACAAGGCACGCTTCTGGGAGAGCCCGATGGTTCCCTTTTGATGATAAAAAATAAAGGGTACCAAGTATTTTTAAATGATTGTCAAAGGAAAAATAATGAAGTCAACAATGAAACAATGAAAATAAAATAATGTTCAGTCCTTGACACTGCCACTGTAACGTAGGCCCGTAGTGCAGATTAGCAGTAGTGCACTTGAGGAATGGTCTGTGGCAATCGTTCAGCGTTCTAGGGGAGTCCACAACATCCGCATAAGAACTGCAAGACAGAAAAAAACTGGTGACAGTATGATGTCTGAATCCTGAATAACTCTTATCAGTCTATGTAAATTGTCAGGAAAAATAGTAAAGGTGCCACGAAGGAAAGAAACAATTCAAACAATAACTAAATGTAAAACCTACACTAGCTCCAGTGCTCACACGCTCCGCTAGTCAACATGCATACACGCTCCTGCTATCTCTCTCAGAATGACCTTCTTGATCCAAACCAGTCAGGTTTCAAGACTGGTCATTCAACTGAGACTGCTCTTCTCTGTGTCACGGAGGCTCTCCGCACTGCTAAAGCTAACTCTCTCTCCTCTGCTCTTATCCTTATAGACCTATCCGCTGCCTTTGATACTGTGAACCATCAGATCCTCCACTCCACCCTTTCCGAGTTGGGCATCTCCGGCGCTGCTCACTCTTGGATTGCGTCCTACCTGACAGGTCGCTCCTACCAGGTGGCGTGGCGAGAATCTGTCTCCGCACCACGTGCTCTCACCACTGGTGTCCCCCAGGGCTCAGTTCTAGGCCCTCTCCTATTCTCTCTATACACCAAGTCACTTGGCTCTGTCATATCCTCACATGGTCTCTCCTATCATTGCTACGCAGATGACACACAATTAATTTTCTCCTTTCCCCCTTCTGATAACCAGGTGGCGAATCGCATCTCTACATGTCTGGCAGACATATCAGTATGGATGTCGGATCACCACCTCAAGCTGAATCTCGGCAAGACGGAGCTGCTCTTCCTCCCGGGGAAGGACTGCCCGCTCCATGATCTCGCCATCACGGTTGACAACTCCTTTGTGTCCTCCTCCCAGAGTTCAAAGAACCTTGGCGTGACCCTGGACAACACCCTGTCGTTCTCCGCTAACATCAAAGCGGTGACCCGATCCTGCAGGTTCATGCTCTACAACATTCGCAGTGTACGACCCTACCTTACACAGAAAGCGGCACAGGTCCTAAACCAGGCACTTGTCATCTCCTGTCTGGATTACTGCAACTCGCTGTTGGCTGGGCTCCCTGCCTGTGCCATTAAACCCCTACAACTTATCTAGAACGCTACAGCCCGTCTGGTGTTCGACCTTCCCAAGTTCTCTCATGTCACCCTGCTCCTCCGCACATTCCACTGGCTTCCAGTTGAGGCTCGCATCTACTACAAGACCATGGTGCTTGTCTACGGAGCTGTGAGGGGAACGACACCTCCTTACCTTCAGGCTCTGATCAGACCCTACACCACTGCGTTCATCCACCTCTGGCCTGCTAGCTCCCCTACCTCTACGGAAGCACAGTTCCCGCTCAGCCCAGTCAAAGCTATTTGCTGCTCTGGCACCCCAATGGTGGAACAAGCTCCCCCACGACGCCAGGACAGCGGAGTCACTGACCACCTTCCGGAGACACTTGAAAACTCTTTATGGAATACCTGGAATAGTATAAAGTAATCCTTCTACCCCCCCCCCCCCACCCCCCCCCCCCCCCCCCCCCCCCCCCCCCCCCAATAAAAAAAAAAAAAAAAAAGTGGTTGTCCCACTGGCTATCATAAGTTGAATGCACCAATTTGTAAGTCGCTCTGGATAAGAGCGTCTGCTAAATGATGTAAATGTAAATGTAAATGCACAAACAATATGCACTCACCAGCTATTCTACCAGCAGCTACTAGGCTACTATAGCAATTCTTTGCCTCAACTTCTTCAGTTACGTTTGCCTCCACACTTACACAAAGTTTGGACAAGCTCACCAGATTCCCAGGAGTCGACGGGCCCTGTCGAACTCCCAGTGAGTGTGTTGTTGCCGTCTGCTTCGTTCCGTCTGCTTCTGTTTGTCTACTTCTCATCCGTGCTTGCTTTGCCGCTTCTTCTGTTAGGTTGGTAGTTAGCTGGCTGTGGCTGTTGTGGTAGCATTTGATTTTGGCGTGGCTGTGTTGGAGCATGGAGCTGTAGCTTGGGTTGGTAGCGAGTCCGGGAGGCAAGAACGAGAAAGGTGCGTCCATTCCTCATTATTCGCCTTATTCTGTAAAGTCACAGTGATCGCGGCGAGTTAGTTGCAATTGTGTTTCTATTTCCGGCAACATTCGCGCGACGCTAGCGCATGCAAAAGTGTTACTTTTAGTTGAGAGCTTGATAGTTTTACACTGACAGACAAAATCCTAAAATCGATCAACATGACAAGCATTATGTCTTCAGTACGAGGCTGTCACAATAATTGGATGAAGAGAAGGCTGTTTTTACAACAGCAATGTTTTGAACACCAACCTCTACGTCGATCTGAATGTACCTGTGGAGCCCCATACGACCTGCATCCACCTCCTAAAGACACAGAGTCTTTACGGCTCTGGCTCAAAGCGTTGAACCTAAAGAAACCACCAAAACGTCCCTCTGTGTGCTCCTACAACTTCTTTGACAAGAAGCCTACAGTGGAGCATCCTTACCCAGAAAAATGGCTTGGCTACGATGCTCCACTCGTGAAGAAGTGTCGGGTGTTGGTCAGGCAGTCATCAGTGACAGGTAAGACAAACGCTTGAGCAGTTTGCCTGCTCTCATTTTGTGTCTCCCTCTTGCTCTTGTATCTAAGCACAGTCTCATAATAGCACCATTTATTTCCTCTACAACTCAATAATAAATTCCCATTTTATGTATACTTAATTATTATGATTATTAAATATTATTAGGAGCGTCCATGCAGTATGGTGTTTTATTGTACGGTTTTGTTATTAATTGTCCATTGACTTGTTTAATTAGCCACACTGATTTCTTAACAGATGACACAACCGGCTCAAGTGTTCACTAAATTGAAAATGGGGATTGGACAACACAGATAGAAGGAATGGATATGCCTTCAGAGAAGGTTGCCCAAACCCAATGGGAAGACTCATCTCTAAGTGATCACAACTACAGCTCAGGTGATCATGTAAAGCCCACTACCTGTGAGGCAGGGACACAGTGCCCAGTAGCACCTCTCTACAAAACCCTG